GTTACGCCATGCCCTCAGAGCGAATACACAGCTGCTGGGTTCGGGATGGGCCTGGCCAGGGAGCAGTGGATATGTATATGTATATGTATATGTGTATGTATATGTATATGTATATGTATATGTATATGTATATGTATATGTATATGTATATGTATGTATATATATATATGTACAGATTATCATACGCACCTCTCCGAGGGAATAGAGCTCAGAGCCGATTAATTGAAGGCGGCGTTCGCGATTTGTCTGGCCGTTTCGCTAGGGACATCCTCGCAATTCTGAAAATCGGTGGCACCCCTCACGCAGATCGTGACATCAGGGTCAAAAACACATGGGAATTTCAACATTCTAACACAAAACCTTCAAACACACATATAATTTCAATGATTTGGACCCCGATTCTCAGAGAATGGCGATTTCGCCTGAAACATCCTCCCAACATCGAGCCCCGGCGTACCTTCTGGTACCCCAGACCCCGCCTCGGAGCCTCTTGGGAGCCTCTTGGAACCTCCTTGGACCTCCTGGGGCTCTCTGTACCTTCTGGTACCCCAAACCCCGCCTCGGAGCCTCCTGGGGGTCTCCTGGAACCTCCTGGGGCCTCCTGCGGCCTCCTGGAGCCTCCTGGGGGCCTCCTGGAGCCTCCTGGGGTCTTCTCGGGCCTCCTGAGGCCGCCTGGGGCCTCCTGGGGCCTCAGAACTACATGCACACACAGGGACACAAATCACACCCAACACATCACACGCTAGACAAACATAACACACACAACACCTACAACGCACGGGAAACACGCACAACACAGAGCACACATCACACACAACACTCACAATCCCGGGGCCTCCTGGAGCCTCTTCTGGTATCCAAGTCGGGCCTTCCTGAGGTTTCCTGGGGGGCCCTGGTACACACATCGCAAGGTGTGGCAACCCCACTTGCGCTCGAGTGCGACCTCGATCTTAGATTATTCTGCGTTCACCTCCTGCCTCTTCCCCTTCCCTTAGGCACGCCCTGGCGGCGCCGCCCCAGCTTCCCCTTCTCCATCTCCGATCCTGCAGTCATGGTGCCTTCCTGCTTCAAACGCCCTTTCATTTTTTTTTGTATGAGCCTGGGCACACACGTGCCACTTGTATACATATATATATATATACACATATTATATTCAGAGGCCTCCTAGATGCGGTCCGAGTAGATGGGGTCGGAGGATCTCGCCGCATCGCCGATACATTGGCGATGCATTGCCGATGCATCGGCGATGCAGTCGCGATGCACCAGCGACGCCGGCGATGCATCGACGACGTCGGCGTGGAGAACGTCGGGTTCCGCATCGAGCTGCGCCGCCGATGCCTCGGCGATGCGGCGGGATCCTCCGGCTCCATGTGCTCGGACCCCATCTAAGAGGCCTGTGAATATACAAATACATATATATACATATACATGTATATATATATATATATGCATATCCACTACTCCCTGGCCAGGCCCATCCCGAACCCAGCAGCTGTGTATTCGCTCTGAGGGCATGGCGTAACCACCGCTGCTGGGTCCAGGATGGGCCCGACAGCAGTGGACATGTGTAGATTTCGTTGGCCGCCCTGCTGCTCCACTCGGCGTCGCCCGAAGCAGTGCCCCCACCGGCGACGGCTGCGGCCTCGCCGCCGCTCCCCTGCCTCGGCAGCAGTCGCTGGGCGGCGTGTTCGGGCGCCGCAGCAGAGGGCGCCACGCGTGGGCCCGCGCGACGCCGCGCGGCTCCGAAGGGCCAGGGACGACCTCCCGAGCAGGCGCCTCGCCATCGCTGGACGTCAATGTGTCGTGCATTCGTCGGTTTCGCGCGTGTATTGTCCGCATGATGATGCAGGATTCTCGTCAATGGTCCTCGCCGGAAAAAAAATGCTCACGTCCGAGCGATGCCGAGGCGCACGGAAGCTTCTGGGCGTGAACACGTTGCGGCAATGGCGACGAGAAGAGTGCCACCAGAGGCTGTGCAACAGAGGAGGTTTGGCGGTGACCTGTCGCTTTCCATGGCGCTGCAAGTGCAACTGTCAGGGGTGCAGACCGTGCACGAGATGGGCGCTGGGTCGGACTGGCATGTGCCCGGCTGGGCCATCTGGTGCGCCGAGCGCTGCGGGGATGTCAGGCGGTCGTTGCACCGACTCAACTTGCCCGCCCCGCCAGGCTAAACCTAAACAGTACCCAGCGGGCGCCCGCACGGGTATCTCAATCGGGATGGCGATCAATTTCGCCCATTTCGCGGGGCGGTGGATTGCGACGCGCGGCCCCGTGTTCAATGTGGCTGGCCGGTGCCCATCGGCGAAGCCCCAGTCTGAGAGGGACGCGGTGGACATCCCGAGACGGCTCGCCGGATGGACTAGGGCGGTGCGCGGCGTCGTTAGAGGCCAGCGGCGGCCGGAGCGCGAATGCGAGCATGACCATGGCTGATCCAGCCGAGAGCGTCCGCCCGCTAGAGAGGTACACGCCCCCGCTCCGCTGTGCTGGGCATGTTGGGCACCCCGCTGCCCCTGTCCCCCCCTCCTCTTCCTCTTCCCCTCGGCTACCCTTCTCCCTGGGGGGGGAGGTGCGACTCCCCGCGGTAGGTTTTGGTGCCGCTGCCGAGGTCTGACGCGGGGACTGCCAGCTTATCCTCGGCGTGCGCGTGCGTTCGCATGCGTGCGTGCGCGCATGTGTGTGTGTGTGTGTGCTTCGATCCTTGAGGGCCCGGCCGCGTTCCCGCGCTTAGTACTGCCACTGACTCCGCGTCGGCGCCGCGCGCGAGGCCGCTTACGCCAAAGAGTGTGTGTGTGTGTTACCTACTCTCACCGCGCGGTGCTCCCTCCCTGCCCCTTGCACGCCTGCCACTGCCAGGTGACGCTCGGCCACTTCCCCACTGCATGCATACCCGCCCGCTAGCGTCTTCCACGTGCACGCTACGCTTACGCGCCTTTTTCTGCACGCGACGCTTCCACGCGACGGCCTCTCTCAGTCAACCCACCTGCTATGCCAGGTGGAATTTGAATAATTAAGCGTGCCCCGGCTTAGAGCTCGCGACGGTGCCACCAACTCGCCGCTGGAGGAAAAGACCTGTGCGTGCGTGCGTTGTGGTGTTATGTATGTATATATATATATATATATATATATATATGTGTGTGTGTGTGTGTGTGTGTGTGTGGTGCCTCTCCGTCGCTTCCTGGCGCACTACCTCGTCGGTCCACACTTGCACACTCGCTCCCCCCGCCTTCCGGCCCTGGCTGGCTCATGTCACCTTCCACCCTCGCCGCAGTTTCGTCCACGCACCGCCCCCCTCCGCCATCCAGGCCCGGTTGGTCATGGCTGCCGCCGGCCACGAGAGACCCTAAGCGGTCCCTGCGTGCTCGGCCGGGCGTAGACGCGCGCGCTCGTCGCGCGCGCTCGTCGCCTCGTCGCGTCGTCGCCGCGCTGCGCCCGACGTTCTACGCCCCGTCGCCGCGCGCGGGGCGCCCCCGCGCGGTGCACCGCGCGGGGCGGCCCGCGCGGGCACGCCGCGCGCGGGGCGCCGGAGACCACCCGAGCGGCCGTGCGCCCGCCCGTGGGCTCTCCGCGCGCCGGGGGAGGGGCGCCGCGCAGGGCGCCCCTGCGCGGTGCGCCGCGCGGGGGCGGCCTCTCCGGGCCATCCGGGAGTCGTCCCGAGCGGCCGCCCGCGGCCCGAGCGGCTGCGTGGTCCGACAGAGCGAGCTGAGGGAGGCGGGCCTGCAGGGCCTGGCGCCGTCAAGACGTGACGACGGGCGCAGTCACCTCTGAAGCCGGGGCCCCGGGGCCCTCAAGGATCGGTCCGACTCGAGCTCCAGCAGCGATTGGGTCGCCACGTCGTGTGTCTCACGATATCGGCTCTCAGGGGAGGGGTCCTCATGATGTGACGTCGAGGCGCGCAGCGCACACGACCGTCGTAGCCCTTGCGGGCTGCAGTGGAGGCCAGTGCGCAAGACCAGCGAGGGGAGGGTCCCAGTGCAGCAGCAGGCAGGTGGCATGAACGCAACAGGCCGTCAAGAGGGAGGACATGTGACAGACGTCGGGGCCGCACCACGACCTCTGACGTAGTGATTGGTTCGGGCCCCGCTGACATCTCGACGCGTCCCTGGGGCTGTTTTTTTGCCCTGGGTTGTTCTTGTTGTTGCCCTGGGGGCTCCCGCAGGCAGAGCAAGATGAGACCAAAGCCAGTTATTGTTCATGCTGCCCTGGGTTGTTGTTGTTGTTGTTGTTGTTGCCCTCGGGGCTCCCGCAGGCTCCAACACTCGGGGGCGTCCAAGAGGGGGGCGTCCAAGAGGGGGGGTCGCAAATCATGGCCATGGGGGGGGGTCGAGGACGTAATGAAATCAAGCGAGGCGCCATGAAATCTGGGGAGCTATCATGGCCCCCGCCATGATATCCCCCCCCGTGGTCATCACCCCCCTCTTGCCGCCCCCGAAACACGTTGACCCTCAAGGCCTTGTCTGCTCTGGTTCCAGCGCTGTTTGCCCCATCCAACCGTTCAACCGTCGGCGGCGGCCAGACCCACGGAGCCCGCAAACGACGCTCAGGGCCCGCCAACAGGCGCCGACGCCAGCGCAAGGATGGCCGCCTTCTCGGGGAACTCCAGCGGCCGGCACGCCATCCTGTCGATCGGCACCGAGGTGGAGCCGGAGCCCCCCGACGACGAGCAGGATGGTAGAAGACAGAAGCCCGGATCTCCATCGTATTGAACATCTAATGCGGAAGTGTCTCGTTAATTTCAGCCTCTGGGGGCCCTCCCGAGGCCCCGGGACCGTCACAAAACGACTCAGGATAAAAAGCCGGTCGAGACCTCTGGGGGCGCTGTATAAAAAACAATACATCGGACTTCTAGGAAAGAATGGCGTAATCGTGCGGGAAGGTTCACGTCGCGGTGACGTCAGCGTTGGTTTCTGACACGTGGGTCGTTCCACCTCCAACGATAGTGGCTTTCCCATAGCGCAGGTCGCTCGATACCTTGCGACCCTGGGCCACTGGCGGCATTCCACCTCCAACGCCCGCGCTGGGGCCGCCGCCGCGTCATCGCGGCGCCAACCTGCCGCACACTTCCGGCGGTCCCCACAGCGTTTTCGGGTCGGACCCCTTCCTGCACTCCCCCCCTGGAGCGCAGAGCGCGGCGCCAGAGGCGCCGCGAAGAGCGTGGGGAGAGGGTTCAGCGCCGACCCAAGACGTCCACACGGACCTGCGAAAGCTTGTGTCTTACGCCTGTTGTCCTTCCTTGTCTTCTAAATAAGTTTCCGCCCTGGCCGCTGCGGAAGTCGCAGCGGTCCAGCCCTAAGCGAAGCAGGCTCATGAGGTTGTCCTTCGCGTGGGCGCCGTGCAGGAACAGGGGGCCCGAGTCGGAGCCCAGCTGCAGCTGACCCACGTAGCTGCCGTCGCGCGAGCTGACCAGCACGCTCGGGAGGGGCGCGCCTCACGAGCGGCGAATAAATCCACATCACACCCATGCCCCTGCGATCGGGATGCCGAGGCTCGATCTCATGCATGCAGCGCCGCGCTGTATCCATGGGGTCGCGCCGGGAAGTCCAGAGCGCGAGGTCGTGGATATGGGAGCATGCTCCCCGCCCAGGGGCTTAGGTCGGGCATGTCCTCCTACAGGTGGATTTTACCTAACAGCGAAGACTGATAGGTTTCTGGTGGTCTCAAAAGAGAGCATCATGTCTCCCCAAGGGGGTCTGGGCAGATGCCGGACGGGTGCCGCGGGAATCCGGGGACTCTTTTTTTAGCCAACAGTAACGCACTTCGTGGTCTTCGAGTTCCCAGAACTCCATTCCTGGGCATGATTTTGATTGCCCGGAGCCAACTGTAGGCCACTTCGTGGTCTTCGAGATCCCAGAATTCCATTCCTGGGCATGATTTTGAATGCCCGGAGCCAACTGTAGGCCACTTCGTGGTCTTCGAGTTCCCAGAACTCCATTCCTGGGCATGATTTTGACTGCCCGGACCAACTGTAGGCCACTTCGTGGTCTTCGAGTTCCCAGAAAACCTCCTGGGCATGATTTTTGAATGCCCAGAGCCAACTGTAGGCCACTTCGTGTTTCTTCGAGTTCCCACAACTCCATTCCGGGGTCACATTTTGAATGCTGAGGCAGGCTGATGCTGAGGCTGAGGCAGGCTGAGGCTGAGGCCGAGGCTGAAGGCCAGACTGAGGCTGAAGCAGGCTGAGGCTGAGGGAGGCAGGCGGAGAGCTGAGGCGACGGCAGACTGAGGCTGAGGCAGGCTGAGGCTGGCTGAGGCTGAGGCTGAGGCACCGGGAAGCCGAGGCAGGCTGAGGCTGAGGCCGAAGATGAAGCAGGACTGAGGCTGAGGAGAACAGGCTGAGGCTGAGGCTGAGGCTGAGGCTGAGGCAGGCTGAGGATGAGGCTGAGGCAGGCTGATGCTGAGGCAGGCTGAGGCTGAGGCTGAGGCTGATGCAGGCTGAGGCTGAGGCAGGCTGAGGCTGAGGCCGAGGCTGAAGGCAGACTGAGGCTGAGGCTGAAGCAGGCTGAGGCTGAGGCTGAGGCAGGCTGAGGCTGAGGCTGAGGCAGGCTGATGCTGAGCAGGCTGAGGCTGAGGCTGAGGCTGATGCAGGCTGAGGCTGAGGCAGGCTGAGGCTGAGGCCGAGGCTGAAGGCAGACTGAGGCTGAGGCTGAAGCAGGCTGCGGCTGAGGCAGAGGCAGGCTGAGGCTGAGGCTGAGGCAGGCTGATGCTGAGGCAGGCTGAGGCTGAGCCTGAGGCTGTTGCAGGCTGGCTGAGGCAGCCTGAGGCCGAGGCCGAGGCTGAAGGCAGCTGAGGCTGAGGCAGGCTGAGGCTGAGGTTGAAGCAGGCTGAGGCTGAGGCTGAGGCAGGCTGATGCTGAGGCAGGCTGAGGCTGAGGCTGAGGCTCATGCAGGCTGAGGCTGAGGCCGAGGCTGAAGACAGACTGATGCTGAGGCTGAAGCAGGCTGAGGCTGAGGCTGAGGCAGGCGGAGGCTGAGGCTGAGGCAGGCTGATGCTGAGGCAGGCTGAGGCTGAGGCTGAGGCCGACGGCAGACTGAGGCTGAGGCAGGCTGAGGCTGAAGCCGAGGCTGAAGGCAGACTGAGGCTGAGGTTGAAGCAGGCTGAGGCTGAGGCTGAGGCAGGCTGAGGCTGAGGCTGAGGCTGAGGCAGGCTGAGGCTGAGGCAGGCTGAGGCTGAGGCCGAGGCTGAAGACAGACTGAGGCTGAGGCTGAAGCAGGCTGAGGCTGAGGCTGAGGCAGGCTGAGGCTGAGGCTGAGGCTGAGGCAGGCTCATGCTGAGGCAGGCTGAGGCTGAGGCCGACGGCAGACTGAGGCTGAGGCAGGCTGAGGCTGAGGCCGAGGCCGACGGCAGACTGATGCTGAGGCTGAAGCAGGCTGAGGCTGAGGCTGAGGCAGGCGGAGGCTGAAGCTGAGGCAGGCTGATGCTGAGGCAGGCTGAGGCTGAGGCTGAGGCTGAGGCAGCTGAGGCTGAGGCAGGCTGAGGCTGAGGCCGAGGCTGAAGGCAGACTGATGCTGAGGCTGAAGCAGGCTGAGGATGAGGCTGAGGCAGGCTGAGGCTGAGGCAGGCTGAGGCTGAGGCTGAGGCAGGCTGAGGCTGAGGCTGTGACTGCGACTGCCGTTGCCACTGCGACTGTCATCGCGAATGCGACTACGACTGCGAGAACAGCAGAATTCTACAACTGGATTCTCATCTGAATCTTAAGGGGAATGCTTCCACATGTGTTCCTACACATCGCTGTTAGGTTGCTTTGCCGGGATAATTTGAAGACAAATTAAATATCCGCTGATCCGGCGTGTGAGTTTAAGAAAGCTACAACCTGAGCTTCAGCTCTGCTGGGGGGGGGGGGGCCGGGGTGGCTCTGCCGGGGTAGGGGGGGAGGGGGGGGGGGGGTCATCGGGTCCACGCTTTTTTTCCCCCCCCCCCCCGGGAAGCCCAAACCGCCCCAAGACGGGCCAAAAGGGGCCCAGGAGGCCACCAAGACGGTCCAGGAGGCGCTCGAAACGGCCCAAGAGCGCTCCTGGACGCCCAAGATGGCCTGAAGACGGCCCAAGAGGCCTCCAAGACGCCTCAAGGAGATCCCAAGAGGACCCCCAAGAAGGCCAAGAGGGTACAATAATAAAGTTGTTAATAGGTTTTGAAGCATTTTAGCATTATCGCCTTTTCCGTCTTAGAAGCGCCGAAGAAGGTCCAAGAGGCCCCCAAGATCGTCCCAAGACAGCCCAAGAGGCCCCCAAGAGGAGCCAAGACGGTCCAAGAAGGCCCCAATATAGCCCTGGAGGCCCCCCAAGACGACCCCGAGAGGCCCCCAAGATGGCCTCAAGAGGGTGAACCCGAACGGACCCTTCTAGTCCTCCACCCCAAGATGACCCCAAGAGCCCTCCAAGATGCCCCCGAGGCGCCCCCAAGGGGCCCCCAGAGGCCCCCAAGAGGTCCCCAAGAGGCCCCCAAGAGGACCCCGAGAGGCCCCCAAGAGGCCCCAAAGGCCCCCAAGAAGCCCCAAGAACCAAGAGGCCCCAAGAGGCGCTCACTCGCGTGCTGACAGGCCAGAGGTGCACGGCCTGACTTGGTATTGCTCGGAAGCGAAAGCGATGAACGAAGAACCTTCCACCCGTCGCCGTCACCAGTCGTCGGTCGTCGGCCGTCGGCAGCCGTTCGCCGTCAGTCGTCGTCGTCGTCGTCGTCGTCGTCGTCGTCGTCGTCGTCGTCGTCGTCGTCGTCGTCGTCGGTGTCGGTTCTCCGTCATGAACTCCTTCGTCGGTCGTCGTCGTCGTAAGTATCCCGCTCGTCGACCAGTGGTCGTCCGTTGTCGTCGTCATCGTCCATTTCAACAACAATAGCATCAGGAGCGCCCCGGATCGGCGGCACTGGCCGGAGGCCACTACAATAGCCAGACATAAGCACAATATAATCCAAAGATCGCGGAAAATCGTCACAAGACTATTTCCCAACCATGGGCCCTCGTTTTGAAGAGACAGCGCCCCGCGTCCCTCCTCCTCCTCCTCCTCCTCATCCTCCTCCTCCTCCTCCTCCCTCCTCCTCCTCCTCCTCCTCCTCCTCCTCCTCCTCCTCCGCCCTCCTCCTCCTCCCTCCTCCTCTTCCTCCTCCTCCCTCCCTCCTCCCATCCCTGCCCCCCCCCCACCCAGTACAGCGTTTCGTGGCCCATAGGGAGCTCCACCGAAGACCACAGTGGCGCAGTCCGCACGCGGGCTCCCCACCCAGTACAACGTTTCGTGGCCCCAGAGGGGGCTCAATCAAAGGTAGTCAGTTCGTACGCAGGCCCTCCACCCAGTACAACAGTCCGTGGCTCCAGAGGGAGCTCCACCGAAGGTTCCAGTGGCACAATTCGCATGCAGGCCCCCCACCCAGTACAACATTCCGTGGTCCCAGAGGGAGCTCCACCGAAGGTTCCAGTGGCACAATTCGCGTGCAGGTCCCCCACCCAGTACAACATTCTGTGGTCCCAGAGGGAGTTCCACCTAAGGTCCCAGTGGCGCAGTTCGCACGCGGGTCCCCCACCCAGTACAACGTTTCGTGGCGCCTGAGGGAGCTCCACTGAAGGTCCCAATAGCGCAGTTCGCATGCGTCTGCCCCACACAGTACAAGGTTGCATGGCCCCAGAGGGATCTCCACCGAAGACCCAGTAGCGCAGTTCGCATGCGTCTCCCCCACACAGTACAGCATTCCGTGGCCCCAGAGGGAGCTCCACTGAAGGTCCCAATAGCGCAGCTCGCATGCGTCTCCCCCACACAGTACAACGTTTCATGGCCCCAGAGGGATCTCCACCGAAAGTCCCAGTAGCGCAGTTCGCATGCGTCTCCCCCACACAGTACAGCATTCCGTGGCCCCAGAGGGAGCTCCACCGAAGGTCCCAATGGCCCAGTTCGCATGCGTCTGCCCCACACAGTACAACGTTTCATGGCCCCAGAGGGAGCTCCACCGAAGGTCCCAGCGTCGCAGTTCGCATGCATCGCCAACACCCAGAACAGCGTTTCGTTGCCCCAGAAGGGGGCTCCACCGAAGGTCCCAATGGCGCAGTTCGCATGCGTATCCCCCACACAGTGCGACGTTTCATGGCCCCAGAGGGAGCTCCACCAAAAGTCGCAGTGGCGCCGTTCGCATGCGTCTCCCCCACACAGTACAGCATTCCGTGGCCCCAGAGGGAGCTCCACCGAAGGTCCCAATTGCGCAGTTCGCATGCGTCTGCCCCACACAATACAACGTTTCATGGCCCCAGAGGGAGCTCCACCGAAGGTCCCAGCGTCGCAGTTCGCATGCATCGCCACCACCCAGTACAACGTTTCGTTGCCCCGGGGTGAGCTCAATCGAAGGTCCCAATGCCGCAGTTCGCATGCGCATCCCCCACACAGTACGACGTTTCATGGCCCCAGAGGGGGCTCCACCTAGAGTCCCAGTGGCGCCGTTCGCATGCGTCTCCCCCACACAGTACAGCACTCCGTGGCCCCAGAGGGAACTCCACCGAAGGTCCCAATGGCGCAGTTCGCATGCGTCTGCCCCACACAGTACAACGTTTCATGGCCCCAGAGGAAGCTCCACCGAAGGTCCCAGCGTCGCAGTTCGCATGCATCGCCACCACCCAGAATAGCGTTTCGTTGCCCCAGAGGGAGCTCAATCGAAGGTCCCAATCGCGCAGTTCGCATGCGTATCCCCCACACAGTACAACGTTTCATGGCCCCAGAGGGAGCTCCACCTAGAGTCCCAGTAGCGCAGTTCGCATGCAGGTCCCCCACCCAGTACAACATGCCGTGGCCCCAGAGGGAGCTCCACCGAAGGTCCCAATGGCGCAGTTCGCATGCGTCTGCCCCACCCATTCCGTGGCCCCAGAGAGAGGTCAACCGAAGGTCCCAGGTCCCAGTGGCGCAGTTCGCATGCGCCTCCCCCGCCCAGTACAGCGTTTCGTTGCCCCTCAAGGATTTCCACCGTAGGTCCCAGTGGCGCAGTTCGCATGCGTCTCCCCCACCCAGCACAGCGCTTCGTGGCCCCAAACGAAGCTCCACCGAAGGCGATACCCACAACTGCGGTACTCACAACTGCAGATGGTTGGGTCCTTTGCCAGGCTGACGTTTTACGACTCCTGAGCATTCCTCCTGGAGAGGGACATGCCCGACGGAGTCGGGGGCGCCCCAGCGGAACGGGACGCCCAGGAGGCGGAAGCCGAGGTGGAACGCGTCCTTGTCGCCGTACCCGCAGAGGAGGCCCCCGCCCTCGAGGCCGTAGATGGCCTCCAGGAAGACGTCGCCCCGCACGGCGAGCAGCGCGGCCAGCAGCAGCGCCCGCAGGGCCTGCCGCCCGGACTTGCGCACGACGAGCTGGCCGCTCTCCTCCGAGCAGGGCATCGACTACGGCAGGGACTCGCTCCGGCACCGGACCTTCGCGCCGAATCCACGGAGCGCGCGCAGAACGTGGGCAGATTGAGACACATTCGGCGTACCTTCGCCGCAGATTCGACGCGAGAGCCAAGTCTGGGGCAGCTCGCAATTCTGTCGTCCATCCCCTGCTCGACTCCTGCGTCTTGTGCGCCGGCGCCGCGGGGGGCGGCAGGGAGGCCCAGAGCGCCGCGGCGGAACCCGCCGGCTCGTCCCACAGGTCTGGCCAGAACACCGCGGCCTCGTGGGCCGCGAGGCCCTCGAAGAGGGCGCTCGGAGCCCGGAGCGCCACATTGTCCGCGTCGAGGAAGAGGCAGTCGCTGCACGAGCTCAGGAGCAGCACCTTGGCCGCGCGCGCCGGGGGATAGAGAGGGAAGGGGGGGGGCGTCTTAGAGGGAGGCTGCTTCTTGGGAGGCGCCGGCCCTACATCTACAGACGAGGCCCGCGCCTTCCAAGAAGCAGGGGTGCTTCTCAGAAGCCTACATCCCTCCCCCTACCCCCCTGTGCGCGTCGCTGAGCACCAGCGTCTTGAGCGCGTACTTCTGCAGCTTCCCGTCCGCACCTGGCCCCTGGTTCCATTTCTGGGTGAGGTTCGCCCGCCAGTGCCAGAACGTGCCCCTCCAGGCCGCGTACGGAGAAGGCAGCACGCGCAGCTCGGCCCCGAGCAACGCCAGAGCCTCGCGCTGCGCGGAGTCCACGCGGTACAGCTCCCCGGCCTCGATCCAGAACTCTGCGGGCCAGTCGCAGCGGTGAACTCTTCGGAGAACCTTGAGGCTGACCAACGCTGGATTCAAGTGCTTGTCCGCACTCCCAAGGAAGAGGACCTTGCTCCCACGGAAGCGTCGCGTCAGGTACCTCGCGCTTGCACTCGAGTCCAGGAAGCTGTGCCACCCCGAGATGCCGCCGTCGTAGTCCCGCAGCGCCAGCCGCAGATCCGCGTAGGCCTCGAGCTCGGGCTGCAGCTCCGCGCTGGCGCCCAGCCCCCGGAGGCCCCTCTCGGCGTGCATGCAGCCCGCCCTCGGGTCGAACCGGGCCACCGCGGCCAGCTGCTCCCGCGCCTCGGCGAACCTGCCCAGGCCCGACAGCGCCAGCACCATGCCGCAGCCCGTCGTCGACGAGGCCCTGGAACCCTCGAGGGCCGCGGCGCGCCGGAAGCTCTCCAGGGCCGCCTCGAGTCTGCCGTCCTGCAGCAGCGCGAAGCCGCGGAAGCCGTGGGGCTGGGCGGAGCCAGGCAGGAGCTCGGTGGCGAAGCCGTGGTAGCGCTCGGCGGCCATGTAGTCGCCCGCGTCGTGCAGCGCCCGCGCGTGGGCGCTCAGGCAGTCCACCGCCCTGGGGGTCAGCTCGCAGCATCCCAGCGCGCCGTCGGCCCATCCGCGGCGCAGCTCCAGAGCACGTCGGTGCACCAGTACCTTCACGTCGGGCGGCCAGAAGTACGACGCGGCACACGCGCAAGGCACGTCCAGCTCGTGCGCTCTTTGCCCGTGGGAGCCCAACAAACGCAGGAAGAACGGCTGGGCTTCGGCTGAACGCGAAAGCTCCTCGAAGAGATACCGGGCGAACCGGCATTCGGACTCCAGGCTCAACTGTAAGGGCTTCCCCTTTCTCTGCGGTTCCTCGAGCACTTCTACTAAGGCGTACCAGCGGCCCACCACCAGCGGCTGGAAGCCGCGAGGCGGGGCCCACCCGCCGGCCATCAAGTGGAGCTGCTCGCATGCCTTCTGGCCCCGAACGCCCTCCGCCTGCTCGGGCGAGTTCCGCTCGATAATCTCGGACACGTCGCGGCCAGCCTCGTCCACTCCGAAGCAGCTCTGCACCTTCTCGGCGACGAGGATGCGCCCGCTGCTGTTCCACGGGCCTGGCAGCACGCGGTCCCGCAGGATGCCGTGGTACTCCTTGAGGGAGCGCCAGCCGTTGATCCTCTCCACCCAGTGGCAGCGCTCCCGTAGCCTGGTGTTCTCGTAGTGCGGGTGGCACACGACGCCGCGCCGCGCGTGCAGCCTGATCAGGGCCGACAAGCCCATGCCGGACACAACGATGTCGCCGTCCCTGGTGTTCGCTGCGATCCAGGCGAGCAGATCGGAGCGCTCCGCGAGCTCGTCCGCGTGCGGCCCGCGGCGCACTTCGAGCGGACCCCGGGGCACCCAACGCCCCAGCAGCACCGCCAGCCACGCCGCGCGGAGCCCGGTGCCGAGGAGCGGGCCGCAGGCCCGCAGTCTCGGCGGCCACAGCCGCGAGTCGGCCGCCAGCGAGCCCAGGAGCACCACGTGGGGCACAAAGAGGATCTGGTACCGCAGCATGACCAGGAAGAGCGGCGTCACCGACCCCGCCAGCGCCAGCAGCAGCGCCTCGGGGAACATGTCGCGGCACGCCAGCTCGTCGTGGCACCAGCGCCTGCGCTGCCTCCACAGCAGCTTCAGCAGCACCACGGCCGCGACCAGGGCCGCCGCGGGGGCGGCCAGCGAGGTGCACAGCGGCTCCCAGTCCGGCCACGCGGGGGAGCTGAAGCTCCTCTGGCCTTCGTACAGGGCCGCGTGGTAACCCAGGGGGCCTGGCCGCAGGCCGAAACGGAAGGCCACGAACTCGAAGATGTGCGCGTCGTCCAGGAGGGCCTCCTCGCCGTCGCGGCGGGCCACGAGCCGGCGCGCCGCCCATCCCACGGAGGCCGCCGTGCCCAGCGCGGCGGCGAGGGCGGCCAGAAGCCTAGCTGGGCTCGGAAGCTGGGAGTCGAGGCACGCTGGCGCGGCCGCGTGCTTCCGATCGTCGCAGCGGGTCTTCTCGGCCTGCAGTATCCTGCCGGCGACCACCGCAGACAGCGACAGGCGGAAGAACACCGACCTCACGGCCCACAGGTCGCCGAAGCGGAGTGCCGAGCTCAGCAGCACACTGACCACGTACAGCCGCGACACCTCGACGACGAAGGGCCACCCCGTGGCTCCCGACACGGCCACGGCGCAGACAGCGGCCCACTGCAGGCTCAGCGCGAAGTTGGCAAACTGCCACGACAACAGGAAGCCGGAGCATGCCAGCACCAACGATGCACGAGGCGCCCCCAGCCCACTGGGGCGAGCGCCGCTCCACTGGCGGTGCAGCCACTGCAGGCTCGCGCAGCTCGCGAACCACAGCGGGATGCCGAAGTTCTCGCGGAGCGGCGGCATGAAGGCGACGTGCGTGGCGTCCTCCAGATTGTTGAGATAGGAAGCCCCTGCCACCAAAACGCACCACACGTTCCACCGGACGTTCCACAAGAGCGCGAGCACGCCGAAGAAGTACGCAACGAACACCGAGGCGCAGTAGAAACGTGCAGGGTCTGGAGCGGCGGCCAGCCCCAGCGATTGCACAGCCGCCGCGGCGCCACGCCAGGCCATGCCGAGCAGCGCTTCCTGGTAGATGTTGAAGCGCCGGAGGGCGTTGACCTCCGCCGGCGCCTCACTCAGCCTGTCAGCGTACAGGTCACACAAGCCATCCCACCAGCTGTCCGCGCGGACCAGATGGCTGTAGAAGGAATAATAGAAAGCGTTCTCTGACTGGAATCCCAAAGAGATGTCTGCCTCCTCGCCGTATTTTGGCGGCGCGCAGCAGTGGTGGGGCGTGTGTGGTGACATGCTAGAAGGGCGGGCGGGTCGACCTCGGAAGGGCACCAGGGCCTCCTGAGAAGGCTCCCTGGAGGGCAGAAGAGGCTTCTAAGAACCCCCCCCCTGCTGGATTTAAGTCGGGCCTGTCCTCCTACAAGGGGGCTTTGAACGAACACTAAAACATATACAACAAATGTCCCCATATTGTCGCAACATACTAGAACAAATCGTCCCACGACTATTTTTAAAGTATTTTGGAATATTCCCTCTGTAGAGGGACAGGCCCGACCCAATCCTAGATGAAACCGGAGTAGATGGGGTCGGAGGATCGCGCCACATCGGCGATGCATCGGCGATGCACCAGCGATGTATCGTCGATGTCGGCGGTGCATCGGCGACGTTGGCGTGGAGCACATCGGGCTCCGCATCGAGCACCCTCGGGGATGCGGCGCAATCCTCCGACCCCATCTGCTTGGACTGCGTCCGGGAGGCCTAGAGTACCGATGCCGCTGCTCCCAGACCTCTCCCAGGGTGCGTTCCGGCCAGACTTCCGAGGCGAATCCAGCGGTGGCGACGAGGGCCTCCCGGGAGGCCCAAAAAGGAGGCAGCGAAGGATGGGCAGTGGCATCGGTACCGTCTCCCCCTCTGCTTTGCGCGCCGCCAAATATTTCTCGAAGAATGACCGCGCCGCCCGAGCGGTGATCGCACCGGCCACGCACAGGGCCGCCGGGCCCGCCCACCGTGCGCCGTCGGCTGCCGCCGTGGGGTTTCCCGGCGGCATCCAGCGGGGGCGGGCTGGCCAGCCGCGCGCGCTGGGCAGACAGGCCTCGGGCTACGGGCCCGTCCTCCTCCAGAGCCGTCGAATACGCAGAGGGCAACCATAATTACACCGCGTAAGACGAAGCCAGGACGAGCATACATTCGGGTGAGGATGAGTCGAGAATCTCTGAGATCAGGCGGCTCTGGAGTATGTCTCAGGCGCCGCGGCCTTCTCGGAGCGTCCTTGAGCGCTCTGAGAGCCTTCCAGAACGCTCTGGAACGGATTTAATCTCGTCCTAGCCCTGTCCGACTGTGCCTGGTCGGGGCCACTCTGGGCCCTGGCATGTTGCATGCGCCCTCCGGGCCTTGGCCAGAAACGCCCAACTGCAAACTCGCGGCAAGCGGCCCTGGGCAACATGATACCACAGAGAAAACCCGCCACCGTGCCGCTGGGCACGGGGTCGGCGTGTTCCCTCAGGTCCTGGGCCCAATCCTCTTAAGTCTCCACCCTCGCTCCCGAATCGTCTTTAGGGGCCCCAGGCCCCAGATTCACAAAACTCTCCTGGGGCTTGCCGCGTGCCCCCGGGAGCTTCCCGCGTGCCCCCCTGGGCTCCGGGAAACACTGTCGCGTGAATTTTTCGGGTCCCAGAGGCCGCAAGACGAGCCGAGAGGGCCACAAGAGGCCCTCCAAGACGGTCCAGTAGGGCCGCGAGTCGCCGAACGATCGCTCCAAGACGCTCAGGATGGCCCCTAGACGGCCCAAGAGGCTTCCAAGACGCCCAAAGAGGCTCCCAAGAGGCCTCCCAGGAGGGTTAAAACATTGATTCCCGATGGTTTTTAAAAGATTTGGGCGTTCTCGCCTTTTCGGTTTCCCGACGCTCCCAGACGACCCTGGAGGCCACCAGGACCGCCTCAAGACGGTCCAAGAGGCCTCCAAGAAGGCCCCAAAACGGCCAAGAGGGTCCCACAACGGCCCGAGAGGTGCCCAAAAACGGCCCAAGAGGGCCCCAAGACGGCCCCAAAGGGGGGCCCAAGAGAGGGAACGCGAACCGAAAATCCGAGCCTTCTGCCCGAAGAGGCCACGGGGAGGCCCCCAGAGGCGCCCAGGAGGCCCCCAAGAGGCCCCCGAGAAGAGGCCCAGAAAGAGGCCCCAGCAGAGGTCCCCAAGCGGCGCCCGGGACGCCTCCAAACCGCCTCCAAGAGGCCCCCCCCCCGAGAAGCCTCCCACGAGATCCCAGCGAACATCCCACGATCGGGAGCGGCCAAGAGGGGGGTGTCCAAGAGGGGGGGGTGCAAATCATGACCGGCGGCATGTGCGCGGCCCAGCGGGGGGGCCAGGGACGTAAGGAAGTAAGAAGAGGCGCCATGAAATCTGCGGAAATATCATGGCCCCCGCCATGATATCCTAAAACAGGGCTAGGATCGGGATAAATCGCTCCAGAGCGTTCCGGAGCGCTCTCAGAGCGTTCCGGAACGCTCTGGAGCGGCCGCGGCGCCCAATACACCCTCCAAACCCGCCGATTCTCAGAGATTTCGAGTGATCCCCATCCGATTTTGTCCCGATCTTCGCGTCGTTTTATATCCACACACCCCCAGTCATCACCCCCCTCCTTGCCGCCCCCGACACGAGGCCCCCTGCCCGCAGGCCAGGGCAGGGTGGCGACGCCGTCGTCGGCTCCCGGCGCGCGGCCGCGCGTGGCCGCGCGCTCCGCGCCTGCCTGCGGGCGCCCTCGCCGCGGCAGCCGCGGGCCGCGCCCGGGCTGCGGCCCTGCCGGGTGCCTCTCTGCGTGCTGGCGCGTGCAGGGGATCGAGCTCGGTGCGCCGACGCTTCTTCCGGCCCTGCATTCGACATTGCACTGGAGAGCGGATGCTGGTGCATACGGGACCCTGGTGTAGACATCTTTCGGGACCCTGGTGCATACGGGACCCTGGTGCATACGGGGCCCTGGTGCACACGGGACCCAATGCTTCTTCCGGCCCTGCATTCGAGTTTGCACTGGAGAAGAGCGGGTGCTGGTGTGTACGGGACCCTGGTGTAATACATCTTTCGTTGCTTCCCCGGGGCATCGGGGACAAAAAGTATACACCACACCACCCCAGCGTCGTCCCCGACCCTCAAGAAGTCGTGGGATTGAAAAAAATAGACCAGAGCGACCCTACCTAGGAGTTGGAGCCCCGAGGAGAACAATATTAGTAGTAACGGTAAACGCCGTCCTCCTCCTTCTCCTCATCGTCGCAGTTGTAGCAGCTAGTAGTAGTAGTAGTAGTAGTAGTAGTAGTAGTAGTAGTAGTAGTAGTAGTAGTAGTAGTAGTAGTAGTAGTAGTAGTAGTAGTAGTAGTAGTAGTAGTAGTAGTAGTAGTAGTAGTAGTAGTAGTAGTAGTAGTAGTAGTAGTAGTAGTAGTAGTAGTAGTAGTCGTAGTCGTAGTCGTAGTCGTAGTCGTAGTAGTAGTAGTCGTAGTAGTAGTAGTAGTAGTAGTAGTAGTAGTAGTAGTAGTAGTAGTAGTAGTAGTAGTAGTAGTAGTAGTAGTAGTAGTAGTAGTAGTAGTAGTAGTAGTAGTAGTAGTAGTAGTAGTAGTAGTAGTAGTAGTAGTAGTAGTAGTAGTAGTAGTAGTAGTAGTAGTAGTAGTAGTAGTAGTAGTAGTAGTAGTAGTAGTAGTAGTAGTAGTAGTAGTAGTAGTAGTAGTAGTAGTAGTAGTAGTAGTAGTAGTAGTAGTAGTAGTAGTAGTAGTAGTAGTAGTAGTAGTAGTAGTAGTAGTAGTAGTAGTAGTAGTAGTAGTAGTAGTAGTAGTAGTAGTAGTAGTAGTAGTAATAGTAGAAGTAGAAGTAGAAGTAGTAGTAGTAGTAGCAGCAGCAGTACAGCTTAATACCTACGTCTACATCTAGACTTACATCCACATCTACGCCTACAGCTACATCTACATGCTGCACTATGCTGCGCAATGCTGCGCTATGCTATGCTATGCTATGCTGCGCTATGATTTGCTATGCTATGCTATGATGTGTTATGCTATGTTATGGTATGCTATGCTATGCTCTGCTCTGCTATGCTATGCTATGCTGAGCTGTGCTATGCTAAGCTAAGCTATGACATGCTATGCGATGCTATGCTGCGCTACGCAATGCTATGCTATGCGATGCTATGCTATGATATGTTGCGCTATGCCATGCTGCGCTATGCTATGCTATGGTATGCTATGCTATGCTATGCTATACTATGCTAATGCAGCGCTGCGCTAAGCTAAGCTGAGCTAAGCTAAGCTTAGCTAGGCTAGGCTAAGCTAAGCTAAGCTAGGCTAGGCTAAGCTAAGCTAAGCTAAGTTAAGCTAGGCTAAGCTAAGATGAGATAAGCAACGCAAAGCTAAGGGGACGTAACTGGGGGAACCGCGGGGCGGATACTGGGGGAACCGCCCGGGGCGTGCCCCACTGCCCGGCCCTTTAAGCATACCGAGTAAGAACCCTTCTAGGCAGAGCCTAGGTAGGGAACAGCCCGCCACTGGTAATGTATTTGTTCCAGTTTCCGAGTACACACCTGCCGCGTCGCCGGTGTTGCAGTATTTGCGCGGCGGGAGCGGGCCGTGGCGCAGGACCGCGCACGAGAAATGCCGCGAGAGGGAGGGCGTTGAGTGGAGCTGGAGCGCGGCACCCTTTGGGAAGAATGCTCGGGCACCCCCGCACGCGTCTTGTCATTTCCAGCTCCCGAGTTCAAGGAAGGAAAGGCGGGAGTTGATGGGAGAAGTTCATGCTCGCTTCTCCTTATTAAGCTCTGGCTCAGGTCCTCAGGAAATGCGATGGGGGAGACAGGGGGGGAGGGGAACGAGAACGAGATGGACGGTGGGAGACGGGAGGGCGATGAAGGAGGAGGGAGGGGGAATGAGCTAGGGAGGGGGACAGGCGGACGAGGACGACGAGTACGATGGAGAGGTGGGGGAGTGAGGTGTAAGGAGGGGTAGGGAGGGGGATGGGGGGAGGAAGAGCAGGTTTGCCACAATGATTCCCCCTCCGTCCCTTCTGTCTGCCTCGGAGGCGCAGGGAGGGTGAACAGCATGTAGCGCGCTCCCGAACTGACAACCGGAAAAACGAATCGCGTGTACGGCCAACAGAAAGCGACACGCCAATTCCCCAAACGCCTCGGAACACAACAAACAACTGCGGGCGTGCTTCGGCTTGTTCGGCCCCCAGGGCAACTCTCGGGCCCCACGATTACCAACACAACTGCCTGCGAGGACGGTTCTGGGGAGGGTGGGGAGCTCTGGGGGACCATGTTGTGTCAGATCGGGCATGTCCTCCTACAGGCGGATGTTGGAAGACAAATGATACATAGTCAAAACATGCTCAAACATAGTCAAACTATAATCGAAACATCGTCCCCAGACTATTTTTTGACAATTTGTGTATATTCCTCCTGTAGAGGGGCATGCGCTACTTGAACGTTGTGCAAAGGGCCACGTTGTGAACAAAAACGCCAAAGAGAGAATCTGCGTAACTTGCTTGACGGAGCTGTTTGCTTCGGGCGCCACGAACCGTCGGCACACTTTGGCTCTCGCGCTGCGCACTGCTGTAACCTGCGTGCTAACCAGCGCCGGTGTCGTCTCAGCAGGAGTGCTGACGGGTGCGCGCGTAGTAGCAGTACAGGGCCTTGAACGCGATGGTAAGGTCCCAACAGAGCGCGCTCTTTCCCTCTTGCTTCCTCAGCCAGGCTGGTCCTGTATTCGAGCTGCCGCCATACCAGCCATCGCATTCCTGCTTCAAGCGGCTTGACTCGCTTCCCGTACCAAACAATGCCCAAATACTGTAACTGCGGTGGTTATTGAAATGCGTAGCGACTTGATCCGTGATGGTGCGCGAACACGTCGGGTCGACGTTTTTCCATTGGTAGCACCGCGTCGCCTTGTCATCCGAAGCCCACTCATCACACGTTATTCCACCACCGCTGTTACTGCCTGAACTCGATGACTCTCCGCCGCCACGCCAACCAAGAGAATCACCGCACGACGCTCGGTATGTGTAGTTGAAGGTTGAACTATAGCAATTGCGAGAAGCAGTAGTGCACCACTCACCATCATAAGTGGAACTGCTCTCTGGCCTGCCGA